CCCGGCTTTGCGTGATTGTCCGACGCATCGCCCTCTGACTGCTTCGCGTCGCCTTTGATTAGCTCCCTAGACCACAGATAGCCTGAAGCTGCTCAAAAGCACCGATCGTGCAGTTTTATTATCCACACATGTGTTCCCAGACAGAAGAGAAACAAAGAACAATAACACCGCGTCTTCTGTCTCCGCTACTGGAGGCATTTTGTTTACAGGCGTAGCATCTTCCTAAGAAACTATTTATTTACCGGAAGCAGATTGGCTGTGATTTCTAAGCTTAATAAGTTTTTTGGGGGGGTTAAACATGATTTTCTTTTTCTTTTCTTTTTTTTACTATGTTTACTGCCATAAGACAATTTATCACAGCCCTGCTGCACATGCGTTAAGGCTGGCCCATGACAGTCTAGCTTAGCCTTAGTGAGAGATATTTAGGAGTCTTCTTTCAGAATCCTGCTAAAAAAAATTAAAATCACATTTTATTTTTGTTTCAAAGGGAAGGTAAACATGTCAGAGCAGTCCACTGCAGCATAACTACCTACTCCCGTGTGCATTTCTTACCAGAGAGATTGAAAGGGGAAATTATAGTCTTTACAGGGGAACACAGACCTCCCCGGAAATCTCACAAACTCATCTGTAATACTGATAGCCTGCTTGCAGTGGAAAGTAGCCTATGTTATGTAATTACAGTGATTAAGACGTCCCACTCTCCGTGTTCTTTTTTTAGTCTTTCAGGCTGAGCAAACTATCAATTATCTGCATGTAGAAGGAGAGTATCCCTTCCATCCTTCACATGTGCATCTCTTAGCCTTTAAAAGCTTGTCTGGCAGTGAAGTGGAGTGTGCCAACCTGTCTGCTGGCCTGATATGGTTTCCCCATTGGAGAATAATATCACCCATACACAAAATCAAAGCCAGGAAAAGCTCATATCACCAAGGCAACAGCCTCTGACTCTCATTTGCACTCAGCATTGCTCTGACACCAGTCTTATGAAACTCCTGTGACCTGCCTTGCAGATAAGTTCATTCTCCTGAGCTTAGGATAAGATATACTCTATCCTCTTCTTTATGTTTTTTGTAGTGTTGTCCGCTTCCGTCGCACAGGTGAGAGCACACGCTCAGAGGAAGATGTTGAGAGCAGAGAGCAGGATGCAAGGATTGCAGAGCAGACTGATCTGGAGGCTGTGGCGCTCACTGAGGGAGCTCCAGTACCTCGAGAGTTTGCTAATCCAACTGATGGTACAGTATGGCATGGCTTCATTTCTCTCAGACAGCTGTTTTAAGGTCTTACATTTTCCTCCTGGGCTCAGACTCAAGTACAATCTTGCTGCACGCCCTCATTCTCTCAGACACATTCATGGTGGAAGATGCCGTAGAAGCCATAGGCTTTGGGACATTTCAGTGGAAACTCTCCATCCTCACTGGCCTATCCTGGGTGAGAACTGCTCTTTCATTTAAATAAGCACAATACAATGTAATTATGACAACTGCATATGAATTCACTGAGTATCTTTGTGTGTTTTCAGATGGCTGATGCTATGGAGATGATGATCCTCAGCATCTTAGCTCCACAGCTCCACTGTGAATGGAGACTGCCCAGCCTGGAAGTGGCACTGCTTACATCGGTAATGTCTCTCTTATGTCTGTGAAAGTCCTCCTCTTGCAGTGCAATATGACCGTCCTGTCAGTTATTGATCGAGTTCCCAGGGATGATTTTGTGCTTGGATTAAAACGGAGCCAGCAAATGGAGAAGAAAAGAAGACCTGAGCACACTTCAGATATGTGCTGAATCTTTGCAACCTTAATGAATCTGAAAGTCTTATTTAGAGTCAGAGTGAAATACAGAATATCATTCAAACAAGGAAATTAAGGTTCACTTACTAAAGACACTAAACATTCACATTTTTGTGGCTCAACCAAAACCAAATACTACCGACAGTTTAAGAACAGTGTATAAGAGGATGTGCATGCTATGTCGGACAACTTTTGGCTGCAATCTGACTGGGACTTGATTTTTTTCTGTTTTTTTTTTTCTTTTCTTTCTTCTTGATACAGGCAGTGTTCATCGGGATGATGATCAGCTCTTCTCTTTGGGGGAACATATCTGACAAATACGGCAGAAAGACAGTAAGTTCTAATAGCATTCAGTCAGAGGTCCAAATGATTTACAGAGTTAGGGTTTCTTAGTACATACTAGACAACAGGAGTGAGCCGCTTCATTATGCCAGAGTGAGATTTTGCTTATTTATTTATTTAGCAGTGTATTATGTCTTGATTGTATACACATGCAGGGTCTGAAGCTGAGTGTTCTGTGGACGATGTTCTACGGCCTGATGAGTGCTTTTGCACCTATTTACGGCTGGATCCTTGTCCTCCGTGCACTGGTGGGCTTCGGCATTGGAGGGGCACCTCAGTCGTGAGTAACCCTTCATCTTGAAAAAACAAAGCAAAAAAACAATCAAATTGTAATGTATGGCGATTGGGTTCATAATAAAGTGCCTCTTTTTGTAAGGGTGACGCTGTATGCTGAGTTTCTGCCTATGAAGTCCAGAGCCACATGCATCTTGCTTATTGAGGTATGGAGTGCACAAATCTTATATCATTTCAGCACTTAAACCTTCTCAGCCCTAAAACCTGCATTTGCTGCTGTCGTAGATATTTTGGGCACTGGGCACTGTATTTGAGGTCCTCTTAGCGATCTTGGTGATGCCCACTCTGGGCTGGCGCTGGCTGCTCGGACTTTCTACCATTCCTCTCTTCATTTTTGCCATTCTGTGCTTTGTAAGTATGTTGGCAGTCTTGAGCTGCTCTACAATTTGAAGCATGATAGATTACAGCTTTATCAACCTAATTTTTCTTTTGTTTTTTGGTGGGTGGGAGCAGTGGCTGCCAGAGAGTGCTCGATACGACGTGCTGACAGGGAATCAGGAAAAGGCTCTGAACACACTGAAGCGGATTGCCACTGAGAACGGAGCACCCATGCCACTGGGAAAACTGATTGCCGCCAGACAGGTGCGGTGTGCATCTGCAAAAACTCTAAATGCTTTGTGTACATTAAGTACCCTCTATCATACTGCCATTTGTGTTCTGAGGGTTTTTTTTAATGGCTGTTTTTTTTATTTTTTTTATTAGGAAGATCGTGGGAAGATTCGAGACTTATTTTCATCTCACTTCCGCTGGACCACAGTCCTGCTGTGGTTTATTTGGTAAATTAGCAATTGATAATGTCTTCCTCTTTCTCGAAAACCTTGCGTTTTCATTGTCCAGTGATTTACCTAAAGCAAATCAGCATGAATTGATCTGTGTCTGTTCAATCAGGTTTGCGAATGCTTTCTCTTACTATGGGCTGGTGCTGCTCACCACAGAGCTGTTTCAGGAGGGAGGCGCATGTGGAAGTGAGTCAGATGCTGATAGAGGGCTTCACACACTTTATGGTGGTTATGTTTTTGCAAAAAGCATCACAGACAGTAGGCTGAGTGCTGGATTTGAAGCATCCTGTTTGGTGTAACTCCCTCTAGTGTCCAAAGGTAATAAGGAGGAGCTCCGATGCAGCTTAGAGTGTAAATACCTGAATTCTGACGACTACAAAGACCTGCTGTGGACTACGTTATCTGAATTCCCAGGTACACATCACCAAGTTCTCATAAATTTGTTGTTCAATATATTAAAAACTGTGCAAATTCTGCTCTAAATTATGCACAAATATGACCACCTGCTGGTTATTATGCATTAATATAAATGCCTCCTCTCTTCTTGCTTCAATTCTTGTTCTATTGTTGTTTTTTTTACACTCATGCAGGCACTCATTTTGGTGTCTCAATATGATTGGCTGCACCTGCATTTTTTTTTCTACTATGTGAGAGCATGCAGTTTGATTTTAGGGGTCTGAGTATGCTGATGTTGTACAGGACTGCTGGTGACGCTGTGGGCTATCGATCGATTGGGAAGGAGGAAGACCATGGCACTGTGTTTCTTCGTTTTCTCTATGTGTATTATTCCACTTTATGGCTGTGTTGGGAGGTAAAGGCACAACTGGCCATAATCAGGCTTTTAAATACTTTAAGAATTAGTAATGCTGTCCATTTACTGATACTGATTTATCCCCTGCAGAGCCTCCATGACAGTGTTGATATTCATCGCCAGAGCATTTATTGCAGGAGGGTTTCAGGCAGCCTATGTGTACACTCCAGAGGTAAGATATCTACACAGTGAGCAGTTTTGCTCCTACTGTGTAAAACACATTTGCAGGGCAGAATTAGAAAATTGGCAGCCTCCTATGTATTTCTGAAACTCTGCAGGTATACCCAACAGCGACCAGAGCTTTAGGATTGGGAACAAGCAGTGGAATGGCCAGGGTTGGTGCCCTAATAACTCCGTTTGTTGCCCAGGTAACACTTTGTTTTCCCATGACAACACTGCACAAAAATGTCAGAGTGTTAGTGTCACACATTGTGATTGTCCATGGGCTTCATCCTGCAGGTGATGCTGGAGTCCTCTGTGTACCTGGCTCTGTCAGTGTACTGCTGCTGTTGCCTCTTCGCGGCCATCGCCTCCTGCGCGCTGCCAATTGAGACGACAGGCCGCGGCCTGCAGGAGTCCAGCCACCGTGAGTGGGGACAGGAGATGATGGGTAGGGCCTCTTCCCACAGCGCTGGAGGAGTCCCTGACTCCAGCTCCGGCTCCCAGGGCTGAGGATGCATCAGCTGCAGTGCAGCTGAGAGGAGACCACAGTGAAGAAGAGAAGCAAGGAGAGGGAAGACAACAAAACCAGCTCTCTGTGTTCATCTTTGCCCCCTTCAATGATCTTCAGTTTAGTCACCTCAGTGGCTGGGAGCCAGGCAACACAGTAGTTACATGTACATGTCATTGTACTTTTTTAGTCTTTTAAACACCATTGCTCTCACAAGTTTGCCACTGTATAACTGCACACAGGGTAATCAAGAAAGACCAAATGACCTACATGAGTGTGAGAGTGAATGGGGGAGGAAAATCGTAAAGAGAGAATTCTAATACTTCAACCAAAGTATTTTAATCAAGCTTTTCTGATCCAAGAGAAGCAAAGGGATAGCGTAAGGTCAAACAACTATCTTCTTTTCAAAAAGCCTTAAAACTACCTATTTAGCTTGTGGTCGAGAGACCTACTCTTACACCTATGAGAAAGCTGCTTCTGCTAACGTAGTAGATACATATGTAAGGAACAGCATTATCCTGTGCGCACAATTTGCCTGCTGAAATACACTAATCACACTTGTCTTTATTTTTTAAAACAGAGCATTGATAGATTGAAGGAAAATCCCACACAATCAAAATAACAGGGCATCTGAATGAAAAGGGTGTGGGGTTATTTAATAGTTTCAGCCGTGAGAGGTGAAAGGAAGTCACTAGCTTTCATACACCGAGCATCCTTTTGAACTCTTGTGTTGTATGTGTTGTTCTTGTGTCAGTATTAGTTCACATTTTAACATGGTAAAGACCCATGGAAAATGCAGGTAACATTGAAAATACCACAAATCTCTTGATCATTATCAGGACAGATTCTTTATAGCAAGCTGAGGGATCTGTTGAAACCTTCACCAGAAGATATTAACATCAGTAAGATAATAACTTCTCATATTTACAGCACAAACACGCTCCATGGATCCTGTATTTACGTTAACATTAAAGTGTTTGATCATTTAAATCTGAGCAGTTTCTCAACATCCAAAGCTGACTGAGCCTAGTTAGCAAGGTTTACATAATTTAAAAATACAAAAACATTCACACATGTATGTGGTGTCATAATCTATAGACTTTGATGCATCTCGTGCCCTACTTCAGCAGACTTTGATGCTGCGTTTCCCAATGTCCACAGCGGGATGTTGCGTTCTGTAAATAATGTATCAATACCTGGTTTAGTTGTTGTCTTTGCTTTTGTTTGTAACAGAGGTGACGAGGAGATGGACTGAGGGAAGTTTTGTTTAAAAAAAATAAATAAATACAGAGATTAACGAGTATAGGTCTGATGAGCTGTTACCTGCCAGTGTTTGAGATGAAGAGCTGCATTACGTGTCTGTGTGCACAGATCCTTGTCAACGCACTGGATGTAAATGTGTATGATACTGTAGTAAATGATCTTTCAAAGACAAGCAACTGTCGTGTTTTTATTAATTAGTTAAATATTTTAAATTCATTGCAAATCTTGCATTTAGTGCACTAAAAAATTCACAAAAATATGTACAATTTATACATAAAAAGTGCTTCTCAAATTATCCAAATCTCAAATAGATTTCAGCACGATTGTCTTACATATGTGCCATTGTTTAATTAACAATGGTGGCCTTGTCCTTAACTTTGCAGGTGCATGAGACTGTTTGAAAATGATGTTTAATATTAAATTAATGGAGGCTAGGAGCAATATATGCACTGATGCTGACATTTGAAAAAAAAAAAGAGCATCAATCGTTACTTCTGCACACCAATTCACAAGCGAGCTTTTGGACCTTTGCCTTTTTGTTCCACGATCTGACCAAAGAGCCTCGCCGCTTCCTCGGCACAGCCTCTGTGAATGGTGAGTCCGAAACCTCCGTGGCCATAGTTGTGTATCACCTGAATAATGCCACAGTATTTTAGACAATTAATAGCAGAAATATGTATTTACAGTTCCGCTACTTAGATCTTAAAATGATACCTCTATGGGGGTTTCACCAGACCATATGGCTTCCCTCTCCAGTCGGACTTTGCTGCGAACTGGCCTGAGGCCAGACCAGTCGTCGACTATCCTGGCATGCTGAGATTAGAGAACAAAGAGATGAAAGCTTTTCAGAACTGACAATAAATAAACAAATACATAATAATAAAGGTAACTCAGAAACTGAAAATTTGACACTCAGTTACATCTTTTTAGAATGAGGTCTAAATATATAAAATGAAAAATGTTAAAAACTTCAGCACCACAGAACACTTACTGTAAATAATTAATCACACTTGAATCATCATATCTTTTTATGGCCTTGCTGAAATCATCGTACCTTGAGACTAGGCTCAAGCTGACAAGCTTTTTCCCAGATTTCTTTATGGTCGACAGAGCTATTCTGTTCACTCCAGTTTCCCATCTGGAAAACGCCACCAAGCGTCACAAGACGACTTCTGCGGACACAAATGTTTTGCACACGGATAAAAACAGCTCTTGCTTTCTGTCTTCATTGTACTCCAACCCCAAATCAATACGAAAAAGTGCTGCAGCTGTTAACATAGCGACTGAACTACAGAGAGTAACTACTAGAGCTACTACATTTGAAAACTTTTTTTTAAGGTGAAATATATAAAATCCTCTAACTGCAAATGTAGTAATACTATAAGTCAACAGCTGTGTGGTTCTGCAGTTCAGTGCTTATCAGTGTGGCATGTTACTTGTACTACCCTGGAATGATATATGGTGAATTGTATGTTCCTTTGGTGAAATCGTGGGTAATAATCCAGTGCTTCAGCCAGGGAGCATCGACCTGAAATACAAACAAACACCAGTTCATTCCGTCATTCCTTTATCTCTTGTGCAGTACATACACACAGCCCTGTATATTCTCACCTTCAATATCTGGCCACGGCCTGGTTTCAGGTCTGGATCTGGCTGCAGTTGGCCTGACCACATCCCACTGCAGTTTATGATCACATCTGCTCCGGTTTCAGCCAGCTAAAAAAAGTCAAGGATGATAGGAGATAACAAACATGGTGACAGATAACTTTTGCTCAACTTGTCTGGAGGCTGTAAAACATTACAACATTCAGTAATAAATGTTAATATAGTACAGACTGGGCATAAGTCAGCAAAACACCATTAAAGACGACCAGCTGAAGTTCAAACCAGGCGTCATGATGAGTAAATAAAGTAACTTAAGTGACTTTGAACGTGTGGTGTGGTTGTTAATGGGAGACCAGCTGGTCTGAGTATTTCAGAAACTGCTGACCTACTGGGATTTTCCCACACTGCAGAAAATGTTCAGAAAAGGAGAAACTATGCAGTGAGCAGCTGTTCTTTGGGTGAAAATGCCTGTGGTCAGAGGAGAGAGACCAGACAGCTACAAGAAATGATGTCAACATGAACCTAAATCTCTGAGCAATGTTTCCAGCACCTCGCTGAATCTATCCCATGACAAATTAAGTCAGATTAGAAGGTGTGCCTAATGAAGTGTCCGGTGAATGTATAAAGAACTTGCAAGCACAATACACTGAAAACTTTCACTAACCTCCTTGAAGGACTTTATTTTCCTGTGATAAAATTTCACTCCCCTTTTTCGCAACCTGCAAATAAAAACACTGTGCACTAGAAAACCTTTTATATTAAGGAGCATCGATGCTAAACACACAAGAACCTAATGAAGACTACATGTTTTTTACTCTTATTACTAATACATAATAGGATGAAGTCTCAAGTATACGTTACTCAGTATTGTGGGATCATTTCAGTCCACCAGGTACAGCATATATATCGGACAACATAATAAAATTGTAAACACGATATGGTCTTATGTTAAAGGTAAAATATAAAAACAACGGATCTCAAACAATGTCAAATACTTTGGGAATTTTAAAGCTAACTCAGGAGGTTGGACTAAATAAATCAATACTGATACAACATGAGAAGTCAGTTAGGTGATCACTCACCACTCCATAAGCCAAGGTAAGTATGTTTTACCCTCTATCATGAGAGCAGTGTTGAACCACCCAAACCTGAACGAATGATAAGAAGCAAATGTTTCACTAAAACTGCTGGTTGTGCAACATTGTCCATTCAATCACAAAAAATACTGGTAACTTTTAGTGGGACGCTTGTAATACAGTGAAATTCACACATTTAGCATTTTTAAATTCATGTTTATCAAACTAAACATGATTTTATTTGAAACATGAGTCAACATCCTCAGTGTGACTTACAACCCTAACCCTGTTAGGGTTACAAATGCCAGATGTCGCAAAGAAGATACAACTTAAAACTCATATATTCAAACTTAAATGTAATTTTTCCTTCTTTTTTTCTAAATTGGTCATACATTTAAATACACATTTTTAATTTTAATTTTCTGGCAATTTTTTCATGGTTCAGAGTTTATGGGGTCAAGTAGTTTCTTTAATTAATTACCACACATTCAAAGTCAACTTGTTCACACTGTATGTAAACAGCTGACTATGTGGCTAACTATTTGTTTATTTGTGTCTTGTCTTTCGTTGGCGTTTTTCAGAAAGAGCTTACTTGTATCCAGGAAAAATCTGCAGCTCTCGGTCTGTGAGCTGCCTGAAGCCAAGAACGCTGTCCTTAAACGAGGGATCCTGCAACCAAAAACAAGCCACAGGCAGTGAGAGGGCAATCTTATGGGTGTCACAGTCACCAAATCACATTATTACAGAGGATGTATCCACTGTGAAACTCTGAGTCTCTTGTGGCCAAACACTGATATTTTGTTTGGGTTTTTATCTTCAATAAAGAGATCTTCAACAGAGAAAGTAACTTAAGTGCATCTTGAAAACTCGCTTGTCTTTACCATGTTATATCTGGGCTGCTAATGCATGGGCTGTCTTGGTGATATCGAGTCAGCTGACTCTTCACTCTGGTTATGACTCAAACGCATGTCTGTGTCACACATTCCTCTCAGTGCTATTACATTATGAAAGTCATCCTGTGAACTACTTAGTAATAGCTTAATGCATACAAACTCCCTAAAGATTAGGAATCGAGTTGAAAGAAACATTTTTTTGTTGTCAGATTTCTCAGTACACACTCTCATAGAAGTTAATATGTTAATAAGTGTTTCTGGGTTAGATGGGGTTTCATCAGCTCCTGGTTATTTACTAACTTCCTCAGCCACATTTGCTACAACTGAGGATAACCACTTTTTTTTATGAAGTGCCAAATTAACGTTGGGAATAAGCCCTGCCAACTAAACAGAGTTGCTCTATCGTGCATATTATTAATGTTTGACATCTTGCATGGATTGCAGTGAAACTTTATGGTACAATATTGGTTTCCGTTTTCCTAATATGGAACAATATAGGACACTGTGGTAACAGTGAAGGATCACCATCAGTACCAGTACAGGCAGTTTTGTGGTTGACGTAATTACCCGGTTTCCTAAATAACACAGAATTAGCCTGATTGTACTTTGGGATTATTTGGCTGCTCTAATGAGATACGAGCCATTTCCATTCATGACAAATAGGCTTTTGATGTATGCATGACTACAACTAAAAGAAATGTATGTTACTTCATGTTGCAAGAGAAAGCTCAATGAAATGCTTTCTGCTGCTAAGCGCAGATTTATTGTAACACATGAAATTCACAAAAGAATTTCCAGAGTGCACTGAACCCGATACTGGACATATACTTGAGTTTTGCATCACTATTGTAACTCTGCATTGTGCCAACTTGGATTGGTTCTGCAACTTTCTATTTCTGTTTTGCTATGCTAAGCTTTTAGCATAGCAAGTTAAGAGTTAAGATAAAATAAGAATATGAAAAAATAAGTGTTTGAAAGTCTTCCAGTTTCATTGCTTGACCTGTGAACTTTTAACCGGCACTAAACTAATGTGACACAACAGAAAAAAAAAGAGCCCACTGCATGATCTTACTTGCAAACATGCAGAAATCACTCAACAATGTCAGTGCCGGCTAATATACAGTTGTGTTCTCAAGGTTACATCCACTCATCATGGCCATGGATGTACATCAATGTTAATGATGTCTTTGAACTGTTGTTTTCTGGAGTGGAATGATTGTACAGCATGTTTAATGACTTAAACATGCACAAGTTTGAATTCATTTAGGATTTTCTTTAATTCCCACAGCATCAAAACTATACATATAGTCTCATATATATACGCATTAGCCCCCACTGATTTTTGGTTAAATGTAAGTGGCACCTCACCAGATGTGTTTGGTAGCCATCAACAAGCTTGTTTAAATTGGCTGGTTTTTGTAATGTTAGTCTGCTTTATTCATTCCAAAAAACATTTTTCGTGTGTGTTTGTGTTTGGGATCATCGTCCTGTTGTAACACCCACATGTGTCCAAGATTCAACCACCTAGCTGTTGATTCAAGGTGAAGTTAAAGTTAATGTATGTAAATATTTGAGTCTGTATGTTTAGTTTTGACTGTGTGCAGATTATAGAACATCTAAAATAAATCCAAACTTGAGCACCCAATTTTGGTTTTTTAAAGTCATTAAAGATGCTTTACAATCATTCTGCACTAAAAAGGGAACAGTTGAAAGAAATCATTAAACACCCAAATGCAAGCTTTCTTGTAATTTCTGTATTTTGTGTTTCTTTTTATCATCTGCTAATGTGGATCTCTGCAACTAACTGTTTTTTTACCCAATTTAAACTTTTGGTGAAGCTGTGGTATGACAAGAATCTGATGAGTGTAAGTAAACTTCTGACCACATAAGTCCATCTCCATTCGTGACTGTCAGACCACTCGAGCAGACAGCTGAATATTTCCATATTCCTTAATTTCAGAACTGCAGTGTGACAGGGTCCTTACTACATACCGGAGGAGTTTACGTGTGCATTCCTGAATGTTTTGTACGTACTATGGGATGTCATCCACTTTGTTACAAGAGTTCAGAATTTGCATATTTGTGCTTTCTTGTATTTCTAGAATAATTATACAGCTTCCACAGTCTTAATCATGTGCAAAGCAATTTTCCTGCAAGTTTTTCCTCATTATTTGCTAGAAATGTCTGTGGCGTTAGTACACAGAATCCCAATTAACCCTGATTCTGAGTGTAAAAACAACCCTTAGTGGGGCCTCTCTCTTTACAGTTTCCAACCAGTGCATTCAACAATCATTTATGTGGCTGAACAAAGCTCTACTTCAGAGCAACTGGACTTTGTTTAGTGTAGATATTGCCCCGAAATGCAATAAATTTGTGAATGAGTTGCTTGATGTTGCACTTTAACCAAATATACACACACCTATGTTCTTGGCTGTAAAAGGTTCCCTAATAAGAATAAATCTTATCTTTGAGATAAAAAAAAAAAGTGTAGTTCCAAAAAAAAGAAGCAGTACTCACTGGTGCGGGTTCACTGCAAAGGTTGTAGCCAGACTCAAGGAATATTCCCATTTTTATGGACTCAGGTGACTTGAGAAAGCTGAGCAAGTAGTCAAATGTCTCTTTATTCCATTTTCTAAATGTCAAGGACACATATGGGAATAATGTAGCAATAGTAATGTTTGTAGATAAAAACTAAAATCTAAAGGAAAGTTAAATAAAACACACTCACGTCTCCTGAACGTTGCCCTTATCATACAGATAAGGCTGCCAGAAGCCGGCTGCTCCATCACTAGTGGTCAGTGGAGTGAACTTGTCTGCATACACCTCGATGGTCAGCGGACTGACAATAGAGTGATAGTGCTCATAGATGCTCTGAGCTGTTGACAGGCCAATCACTCCTGCCCCAATCACTGCCACCCGCATGTCTGCACTAACATGAGACACAGTGAGACTCACTAACCCATGAAGGAATCAAACAAAACCATTAACCAGCAGATTGACTAAGACTGGATTCAATATTAACATTAAAACGATTTTCTTCTTCTTCTTCTTTTTATCTATTTGCTCATCGTTGAGAATAAGTTATATGTTAATGAAATATTTAAATAAAATGTAAAATATTTCAACATTTTAAGTCAATCATTACATGTGCGTATGCAGTATCTATAACAGAAATTACAATAAAGACCTTAAACAACCTATCTCCACTGATCAAACCTGCTGCATAACTGAGGGGTGAGGCACAGCTGTGCAGAACTTGTGCTTCCACATGGTTATTATTAAGAGTACAGTATTACGTAACACTGAGATCTGGTGAAACAAAGAATCCATCTGAGAAGCAACAACTTAGTTACTGAAACTTGAGTAAAAGCAGCATGGTTAGAGGGATCAGACGCACGTGCTGTCAGCATAGTCCACTTTATAGATTACAAATAAGTTTCGCCTTACCTTCACTCTGGTTTTCCACCGCTTTGGGCAGAGTTAAAAAGCAAAAGTGTTTCAGCTCCTACTTCTAACTGGTCCGCCTCTCTCTTGCTAGCAAGGCGGAGATTGCAGGCACGTAGAGCGCAAGACGCGTTCACGGTGTATAGTTTAAACCGCAATCAACCTACTGAGAAAATGTTCTGTCGATCTCGCCTGATAATTAAAAGGACTGCAACGATGGCAGTCACAGTGTTGTCCAAAACTCTTGACCCTTACACAGAAATACAGCATATAAGACAAAAACGTAGTTTGTACAGTTCCAACGAATCTGAAAGTCAGTATTTGCTATCACCACTTTTATTCTTCAACACAGTCGGAACTGTCTTGGTCAGTTTTCTTGTCATTTCTTTAATTAATCTTCAGGAATAGTACTCCAGGCTTTTTGAAGGACATTCAAAGCTCTTCTTTGGATGTTGGCTGCCTTTTGTTGTGTTCTCTGTTTACATGATCCCACACTGCTTCAATAATGTTGAGGTCCGAGCTCCTGGGAGGCCAATCCATGACTGGTAGTGTTTTCTATCCCGGTCTCTTTTTACTGCATTGGCAGTGTGTTTGGGATCATTGTCATTTCATTTCAAAAACTTTAATGTGCTGAATTAAAATCAGAGATTTCGTTAATAATGAAGAAATGTTTTTAAAAAAATGGGCAGATTCTGTGGCAAGTTCTGTCCTCTTCTGCATATCCATCAGTATCAGAATAATCCACCGACAGTCAGAAATACATTACCTGGTGTAAAGCAAAAAGGATACGTTAATAATCAGCAATAAAAATAAAATTGCCATTCCTGTCTCATGAAGCACACCTCAACACAGATTGACGGGGACACACACACACGCAGAAGCAACACTTTAAGTATATTCAGATATGCCATTATATTGATTCATTATTATAAAAGCAGTCAGAACAGCAATAACAACAATAATAATAATAATGAAATTGTTATTGTACTTTGGGTCGCATTTTGCACATTATTATGAGTCAAGTCACGCCTACTTCTGAACAAAATAGTAAAAACATATTTCAGACATTGCTTATTTTTCGTATATCTGTAAAGCTTTTTGAATATTTCTTTCTTTCGCGATTTTTACATTTTGTTCCTACCCACGAGTGTGGTTTTACATAGCCTTGTTTGTGTTTTCGATCCTGTTGTAAATAGCCTGTTATGTAAACCTGAATTGCCTCGTTTAAAGGTCGCATACAAACAGGCTGCTGTACATGTCAGTTGCCGTGATGTCACTATTATTCATAGGTTTAGCAGTTATATTATGACTACATAATTACAAAAGAAGTGTCGCCGGGATGGATTGAAGGCATAACTTCCTTCACCGGGGGCCCTGCCTGAAAGGATAACTCGGCTCGGTTCCCTCCAATCATCAGTCTCTCTGTCAGCTGTATGTATCGTTAGCCCAGCAGCTAGCTGCAGCTCACCAGGCCAGAGCGGCCGGCCGGTGCATCATCATCCTCAGCTCCCAGCCATGGCGTTGGTTACTTTGCAGCGGTCCCCGACCCCGAGCGCCGCTTCCACCGCCAGCACAGCAACTACGACCGCGGGGGAGGTGAGTTTGGTGCCGAGTGAAGCAAAGCTTCAATGCTCCGTTGTGGTGGTGTCAGAGTGAGGATGAGGGAGATGCTGCCAGAGGAAGGCCTGCTGATTGAGACTGAATTAGCTAGTTAGTTATGCTAGGCTGTTAGCTCATGGTAGCTAGCAAACGTTTTCGTTACAGAGAGTTGTAGCTGACTATCGCTTATTCCAATTAGTCTGTGAAATTTTTTTTTGTTATTTAATAATATTAAAGAAACGCCACACCTGTTCAATTGGCCAGGTGTCCATTTTAAAGAGCTAACGTTAGCTTAGTTTGACAAGTGCCTCATAAATGATAAGAGCTGTGGCTAACATTAACGTTAGCTGTTTATGATGTGAGTGGCTGACATTAAAAATGAACGTTTTTCTTAAATATATCAAGCACACAGCACTGTCAGGGAGCTTAATGCACTGCTGCTATATTTGCATTAATTTACTGACTCTAAAGCTGTGTGGATGTTTTGACTCGGCGGACTTGACCATAAAATACCTATTACAGAAATCAAATTGGAAACAGTTACACACAGATTATCGCTATTCTGATTTCCATCGTGCTGTGTCGTTGGTCGTGCGATTAAGCATGGGAAAATACCATATTCCTGGCAAACAGACGCATACGACGACAACTGAAATTGTTAATACTTAACTGTAACAGTAGATAGTCACGGTTTGAGTTTTCTGCATACTTTCACTGAGAAGAAGTAATGGTTTAAGCCATTCAAAATAAGTTCTCTTTGCTATTTAAGTAGTTATTCGTTACCAGATGGGGGCGCTAACTACCAGCTATAGGCAGAGAAGCTTACCTTGTGCTGCTCTCTGCCTGTAACAGAAACTAGAATTACTATCTATAGCTGGCTTTATTTACAACCAGAAGTGTGTGAGCTGTGTTAGGTAAGGATAGGCTGAAATACTTCTTATTTCTACCTTATTTTGTACTCATAAATATGGTGACACGTTATTTAGTGCAAGTAGATTGTCTCCTTTTTCTAAAGGGAATTTTTTTTTTTGGTCCTGTCCTGTATGTCATTGTTGCCTGACGGCTGTTTAGGTGTGACAGATAAAGCTGGCAGAAATCTGCTGCAGCTATGATGTCATCTGCTCATGAGGGGTGGGTGGGGTGGAGAAGGACTACTGTAGGAAGGGGAGGAAGGAGAACTGAGGTAAACAGGGAGGCAGGAGATACTGGTATGAAGGCATGAGGCAGCTAATGTGTGAGGTTATTTTCATGCTTATGCACAATAATAAAGACACTCAGCTCGCTGTGCATTACTTTGTGGAAGCCCGTGCAAAATGATTTCCTTCCGTCCTCCCTATGAATGGTACTCCTCATTTTTATTTTTCCTTTTAGCTGAATGTTTGTTACATTCAGCATCAACTGAGTCCCATTGCCAGTACTTTAATGCACCTTCACTGTGACAAGAAAAATCGTCTTTGGAACAACATCTTTCAAAATATTGATGAACTTTAGAGTCTTATCTACTCTTACCTTGTAAGCTTCTCTTGGTGGTGTGGCTGCCTTTAAAATGAAGGTAAAACATGAACCTTGACTACCCTGGCATTTACTTCAGAGTCATGTTTTCAATCAAACTCTACCCTAGCATCCCTACAATCCTGCTGTGGTGAGCCATTGTTGATACGGTTAAGAATAGGTGTTTGAAGTTGTACAGCTTTCTTACAGATCATTTGATCACATGAGTAGCTGTAGTGGTGGTAACCCTAGAAAGTATGCTTTCTATCAAAATTTAGTATCTCTGTATGTTCATCTTCCAAAGTGTAGATGCTGAATGTATAGCACCTCCATTGCTGCTTGTTTTTTTGCATGCATTTATCAGAGTTTGTGCTTAGTAAAATACAGACAAGACTATAGTTCTGCTATAGCAGTAACAGTGCAGTTGAAATGATTTCAGTATGGTATAAATCTTTTCTGTTATCTGTTGCAGGATTTTGGGAGTGAAGATGAACGGCGAGTAAATCTGAGGTAAGTTTACTTCAAATTTAGCTTAAGCTTTCTGTGATATGGTACCACACAGGTGTTATCAACTGACTGTCTGCATCTGCCTTTGAGTCATTTAGTAAAACCTGGAATATTGGCAAACAAGGCGCTATCGGTGAATGAGCACACCTGATTGTCAGGGTCATAAAAAGCGTGTTGGTGTGTGTCTGATTAAAGTCTACAGTTCTTAAAAGCCAACTGTAAAAAAACAAAAACCCAAACAAAAAAAACATGCTGTTCCTAGTAGTCTATCATGTAATATGTTGACAATTATGTCTGTTTATTTATCAGCATTTAGACCGATCAACGTGTTCTTGGACTGCGCGCCATTATCTGAGTCACTTGGCGTTCCCACAGCTTTTCTTTTTTGCTGTTTAACAGACCGTGTGTGTGTGTGTGTGTGTGTGTGTGTGTGTGTGTGTGTGGCATAGATTGGGGGGAAAAAAAAAAAACTTAACATTTAGGATTTGATCTTTTTACTTATTAAAAACACACAATATCAGCATTTTTTTAAAGTATTTGACTGCAAGCAAATTATTAAGCAGTGTTTAATGAGTGTAGATAAAATAAAATAAAAAGCTTACTGACTCTCTAGTCTGTTCGGATGGATGTGTCAGGTACACTCAGTAGCCACTTTGTTAGTTGCCAGTACCAGGTTGGAGAACTGTCTTAATTCTACGTGGCACAGATTCAGCAAGGTGCTGAAAACATTCCTCAGAGACTTTGGTCCATGCTGGTATCATCACACAGTTGATGATGATTTGTTGGCACAGTCATGACGTGAATTTCCTGTTCCACCACATCTCAAAGGTGCTCAGTTGGATTAAGATCTAGTGACACTGTAAGCCATTTGAGCACGGTGAACTTATTGTCATTTTAAAGAAACCAGTTTGAGACTTTTTGAGCTTCATGACATGGTGTGTTATTCTGATGTAAGCAGCCATCAGAAGATGGGAACAGTGTGGTCACAAAGGGATGGACATGGTCAGCATCCATACTCAGGTAGGCTGTGGCATTTAAACAATGCTCAGTGGACTAAGGAGACCAAAGTGCTTAAAGATTGCACTACCAAAATTGAGGTCTAATTTTGGTGAGCCTGTAGATTCAGTTTCCTGTTCTTAGCTGCCAGAAATGGCATCTGGTGTAGTCGTCTGCTGCTGTTGCTTATCTGCTTCAACGTTCAACGTGTTGTGCATTTGGAGATGTTCTTCTACATACTTTGGTTGCAGCAAGCGCTTTTTTTTAGTTGCTCTTCTTTTCTGTTGTATCAAAGCAGACTCGCCATTCTGCTCTGGCATAAACAAGGCATTTTTGCTCAGACAGCTGTCGCTCACTGGTAAACCCTAAAGATGGCTGCGTGGGAAAATCCCAGTAGATCAGCAGTTTCTGAAATACTCTGACCAGCCTGCTTTCTTTCCATTTTGATGCTCAGTTTAAACTTTTACAGGTCATAGTAACTATGTCAGGTGTATCTAATAATGCATCATATATATTATGTGTTTATATTATGTAGGAATATGAGAAATCTGACATGACTATAATGTACAGCAGCCATAATTGTTGTAATCTGTTCTTTTCAGTCTGAAGTGGGTTTCCCTTTGTGTTCCTGATCTTATAACAAGAACAAGAGTGCATTTTTAGAACAGTCAATGATTTCAAGAAACCAC